GGGGAAGCCGCGCTTACAGTCTGATCTGCGAGGCTCATATTCTGCAGCTGGCCTGTTAATCCCTTCACACTGGTGACCAGTAGAGCCAACTGAGCTTGCTGCTCTGCTTGTTGGTGGGCTAGTGACTCCAAGGATTGAGTCACTCCGGACAACACGTGTTGATGTTGGCCTAGGAGTTGTCCTTGATCGCTGAGAGCCTTTTGAAAGGCTTCGGGATCCGCCGTCTGCATGTCGGCGAGGTATTCTGTGACGTGTCAACAGAAACCAGACGCTCGCAGATGTAAAAGACGATGGCGTTTAATAATACCAGGCAAACAAACTGAAAAGGGCTGAGCAAAAGACGAAGTCACAAAAACAGGCAAAAGTTTCCAAAACACAGATCAGTCCGAAGGGGCAAAAGTACAAAAGGGATGAAGCAAAAAGGCAGAATCGATATAAACAAAGCAATGGTCAAAACACAGGATAATGGCAGTCAGAATACAAACGCTCAGTAGTCTACAAAGAAACAATACCTCGCACTGGTTTGCACTAAAGCCCGGGCTTATAAAGTAAACTACACAGGTGATACAAGTTAGTATTCGGGAGAGTTGGAGCGCTGATTGGAGCGTGAGTGAGTGTCAGAAGTCACATGAGCCCCCATTGAACTGTGGGCAATGGAGTCCGTGTCGGAGTCAGAGTCTGAGGGAAGTTGACGAGTCATGTGATCTCCCAGAGGATTCTGGGAGATGAAGTCCGTCTCTTTCTGAGAGTTCGCCGAATACGTGACAATTGTCAAGTATTCATGTTATTGTTTACATGTTATGTGGACACTTGAGCTGGGTTTTGGGAGTGTCAGTTACCAAAGAGAATTTTAATCAGTCAAAGAGCTGCGTTTTCAGATGTTTACTAAAAGTGAGCTCTGAGCTCGACTGTCTAATAAAAGCTGAACTGAGCTCCACAGTTTAGAAGCAGAATAACTGAAAGAGCTTCTCCATGTTTTCTGTGTTTTACTGAAGGTGTTCAGAAGGTCAGAATCTGCAGATCTGAGATCATAAACAGACAGACGGTCAGGAGCTTTAAAGTCATTTAGAGCTTTAAAAACCAGCAGCAGAGCTTTAAACTCTCTCTAAAAGATCCAGGCAGTCAGTGCAGTGTGTAACGGGGTGATATGAGCTCTCTGTGTTGGTGCTGTGAGGATCCGTGCTGCTGCGTTCTGTACGGGTTCTAGAGGATGGACTGTTTTCTCCAGTAAGAAGATCATTACAGTGATCAGCTACAACTACAATCTACAGTGAGAGAAAAGGCTGAACTTGTTTATCCAAATTTATTTAGTTCCAAAAACAGTAAGTAAAGGCTTTGGGTTCCATGTTTGCACATGCACGTTTAAAGGTTATGCAAAAATCTAAGCAGGCTGGGTAGGTAATGGGTTTTTGGAATGTGAGATAACATCACATAGGTTTTGTTTACTGATTAATAGCCCCAGGTGAACTCTGTGGCTAAGCTTGGCCCTGCTGGAAGTGCAAAGACCACACTTCTCTCTTGGAAACTGGTGATTTTGCACTCTTGTACTCTTGTACTCTGGCTGCTGAGCTGAAATAAAGCTGCGTTGTGGGCACGAACTTCGACTTATCCAAGCTTCTTCTGTGTACCCCCCATGCTGCAGTACTTTTTGGAGGAGAATTAAATCATGGCACTTTTACTTGAGTTCATTTTTAAATAAAATACTTTGTTCACTACTTTAATTTTTAATTACATTATAGAGTAAAAAAGTGACAAGCTTATCAGCTTATGAACCGATTAGAAGAAAGACAGATTAAATTGAAAAGACTCTGAGAACCAGTGAAAAATAGAGCAGATCCCAAAAGAAATTCAGCCCTGAGTGTTACCAAAACACTCAACAAACACACTTTATCCAAACAACCATCTTTGTTAATTTATTTTAAATAAACTAAAGAATAGCAGACACATGCCACCTATAACCTGCTGACATCTCTGCTTTCGTAACTCCACCTCCACCCCAAGGAACCAGCTGTGAGCTGACTGGCTATAATCCTAGATAAACAGGTAACTTACTATGTACTATTTTTTTTCTTTCTTTGTTGTTTTAGAATAAAATGGCATCTATTTATTAAAATCTGTTGTGTATGTTTTTTTTTGCGAGTGCCCATTAGCTAGCTACTTTAGTTAACATTGGTGTCAACCTATATGGTGTGCCCATATAAAATATGGTTTCGTGGAACTTTTGAATGTAAACGGACGTTTAAGTTAAAGCTGTAATATGGAAAATCGAGTCTAATACAACTTTCTGTGATACTCAGATTTGTTCTTCTCTTTCTGTTGTTTTTTAGACTTCCGAAGGCTGAGGAGAGTCAACGTGCCACAACGGCTCCTCTGTCCTTCCACCTATAATGGACATCTGCATCTACAACAAGAGATGCCTGAGAAAACCCAGCACACGCACACACACACACACACACACACACCACAGCCACTCCCTGTTACAACATCTGCCATCTACTAGGACCACCAGCTGTTAAACTGGTTACACCAGCAACACCAACCAGAAAATGATCTAAACTCTGATCCTCCCAGTTCACACGGCATATCTGCTCCACTAGCTCACGGGAATGTATGCACACTGCACTTAAACTGGAACTCTCTGTACTTGAAAATGAACCCTCTGTGGTCTGAGGACTTTATCTCAATATGTTCATTTATTTATCGTCAACCTTTATTTAAAGTATAACGATTGAAATTAAAAGCTAAATCTTGTCCTGTCAATTTTTTTTCTTAAATCTATGTGTGTCACAATTATTACAGGCACCCCTTAGAAATTCTTAAGAGTGAAATCTGATGGAAGTATATTTCCATTCCTATTTCATGTTTTGAAGTTCACCTGAATGGTTAAATGGTCACTTAAATGGTCAGCCCTGACTTCCTGATGCACTGGGGAATATATATGAGATCAAACACAAGCCAAATTCCCTCAGTCATCCATCACTGTGAGAAAGACCAGAGAAAACAGCAGTGATGCACAACAAAAGATTGTTGAGCTGCACAAATCAGGAAATGGCTACAAGAAAAAAGCTAAACAGTTGAAAATGCCAATTTCCACTATCAGGGCAATAATTAATTAAGTTTTAGCTCTTATTCTCCAGGGTATATTTTGGTTTTTCCATCTGAATTTACATGAACCAAATCATAAGGCAAAATATTCAGTAACTGCATGAAATACATGTACATTTTAATTTAATTTAATTTTTTTTATTTTGTAAAAACTCCCCTCAAATTAACAGAACATGTGTTTTATGATCATACACATATTGCTATATGCTTACAATTTACTGCTGAAAGCCAAAATTCTTAGACGCTCTTTGTATTATTTTATAAAAATATATTTTACAGAGCAGATCACTGAAGAGACGCCATCTGTTTATAGTTTATAGCCCAGATTTGTGGAAAAATGGGTCGACTTTCAGTAGAACAAAAAAAAATGTGAGTTCAGCTTCTTTTATTATAAGGGTTTAAAATTACATCACCATCTATTTGACTGGAGAGAAGACAGTTACAGCTCTCATACGACCCCCACCTTTAGAATGTAGCTTATGAAATATGAAAGTTATGAAGAATATGACGAAGTGTGTTTTGGAACCATCGGTGGTCCCAAGGAGTTGAAAAGATTAAAGCAGCAGGAGATGTTAAGAATCTGCCAGGAAGAGAGGAAGTGAGGAGGAACTCAGTGCTCAGTGAGGAGGAACTGTTTTACTGGAACTTTCAATGGGACCATGTTCTCTGGTCAGATGAGACCAAAATAGAGGTTTTTGGCAAGAAACACCAGAGGTGAGTTTGGCGTGGACACAAAAATGTAGAAAAGTACCCACTGTGAAGTATGGTGGTGGATCTGTGATGTCAGACTGTTTTTGTTCCAAAGGCCCTGAACAGTTTATTCAGATACATGGTATCAGAGACTCAAGTACCAACTTATATAAATTAAAACCTGACTGCCTCAGCCAGGAAGCATAAACTGGGCCATGGTATGGATCTTCCAGTAGGACAATGATCCAAAGCACACTTCAAAATCAACACAAAAATGGTTCACTGACCACAGAAATGGAAGCTTTAGCGAATGTTCTGCCAGGAAGACTCTAATGCTACGTCATTCATTCATTGGTCCTGACCAATCACAGGCTACACCTGTCTTTAAAATGACTCGACTCTCGTACCTATTCTGCCGCTTTCAGGTGCCCACGTTTTGACGTTCCCCGCCTTCATCCCCACCACCACCAGTTGGGTCCCGGCCTAGGGTTCCGGGGAGAAGCTCCACCATCAGTGAGGGTCTCTACACTCCAAGACCTGGACCGAGGTCAGGGCCTACGCCAAAGACTCTTTAATTTCTACTGAATTGTTATCTTTCAACTGGTACAATTCCACTGAGGATATAAAAATCATCCCCCTTTACTCTTGCCATGGCCGCCCCAGTCCCCTGACCTAAACTCCATAGAGAACCTGTGAGATGAGCTGAAGAGGAGAGTCCACTATGTGGACCTCAGAATTCTCCATAGAGAATCTCTCTAGAACCTTTAGATTCCGAGGCTATGTTTTATGTTTTATATTTTCATTTCAATGTGTTAAATTCATCAAATACAAAACATGGAGTTTGACTGGGGGTGTTCAAAGGTTTGCATGCAACTGAAGTTTAAAGACTTTAATGTGGCTTTCATCTTTGAGAGAATGTTTTGTGAAGATTTTGATTTTGGCACAAATGACAAAAAAGGAATACTAAAAATTGACTTAAGACTTTAAGACATAAACTAAGATTTTTAATGATTGGAGTGATGAGAATTTTACATAGTACCACAAACATCTGATGATATTGTTCCCAAATTGTTGACACTCATTTATTATTGAACATATCATTGTATCATGCAATCCATATACATGCACATTCATTATATTGTACGTTGCTTTAAATAAAAGTGTCCATTCAATAAATTTATGCAAAACCCTTCAAGAGTCATGAGTTAACGAGGAATGAATGACTTTCCACATTTGAGATTTTGCTGGTGGACTTCATACCACATGATATAAATTTGATGAGGCAGGAATCTGTGAACTAGGATCATTTCTCGGTAATAGCAAGGGTCATAAGGGTCCAGCCTTTTGGAGGGAATGTGTAGGCCGGCTGTCCGAACACCCAGGTGGGATGAGGGTTTCAGTCCAGCTTTCTCCAGACACATTCCCATGTAAACATCATCTATGGGCAGAATAGTGATGGAGTGAGACACATTGTAGATGGTCTTGGCAGTAAAACGTGAAAGCAGGAAGCCTCCTCCGCCACAATAGGGAGGATACCTATCAGATTCCTGCACTTGGACCGGGACATAATATTTGCTGGCCTCATTCCTGATTGGTCCAACATACTGGATTAGATGGCCAACAAACAAGTGTTTGCTGGCACCATCACCCTCCAACCCTTGGAGATACACCACCATGTTATCCGTGTTGGCGAAAATGTCATCATCCCCGTTGAGCAGGAAGTGGGCGTTGGGGCAAAATTTCTCCATCCATTCCAAAAAAAGGATCTGCTTGAGTGTGAGGTTGAAGAAGGAATCATGAAAGTCCCACTGCAGAATGTCCTTATGTTCACGGTTCTCCACTTCCAGGAGTTTGTTCAGCCTCTGCTTCTCAAAGCTCTGTCCAGCAGTCCCGGATATAAACACGGTACGAATCCAAACGCCGCTCTGCAGCCTCTCGGCAGCCCATGTTTTCCGCAACACCTCCCGTCTCTCGTAATTGGGTGGAGAACTCTTGATGACCAACAAAAGAAACACGTCTGAAGATCGCTCAGGGCCACCACACTTGCCAGGAACGTTGAGCAACATCGGGAAATGCCGACAATGGCGGTAATACAGGAAGTCTTGAATGCGTTGGGGCAAGGAGGAAAATCCACTGATGTTGGAAGCAGATGAGTTCTGTTCACATTTGGGTGGTAAACTTGGAAAAGCTTGATTTTTCCAAGCGTCGATTTCCAGATTCCATTCATATTCTGATGCAAGCTCCTCTTGGCTCTTGTCCTGGATGTTTGTTCTCAGCAGTATGAACAAGCAAAAAGTGCCAGTGATGAATACAGCTGCCATCTCCAGCTTCCACCTCCTCACCCGGATCCCTGGATAGAAGATGAGACAGTTAGCAAGTTAGGTTTTCAGACAAAAGTGAAAGGAAACACATTCTGCAATTATATATAAACAACATAGTCCCAAAAACAAGCCAGCCATTAAATTCAGGTAGTGGAGAATGTGGGTTAAAATATAGAGTGCTGTGTGGTTGGTAGAGTGTAGTGGGTACCACCTCTCCCTTCTATGCTGTAGACTGGGGTTCAGTCCCCACCTGGGTGAACACCCTACACTATACCAATAAGAGTCCTTGAGCTAGACTCCTAACGCTACCTTTGCCTACCTGTGTAAAATGATCAAATTGTAGGTCGCTCTGGATAAGAGTGTCTGCCCCTCACTTGAATTCATCTATTTTTGCTCATTTGTCACACCTAGATGTTTCAGATCATCGAACAAATTTGTAAAAAAAAGATAAAGACAACATGACAAAACACAAAAAGCTTCCCATTTGAAAAAGGAATTGCTAAAACCTAATAAGTGGTTGTGTCACCCTGGGCAGTAACAACTGCATTCAAACCCTTTGTGATAACTCGCAATGAGTCTTTTCCATTGCTGTGGAGGAATTCTGGCCTGCTGTTCTTTGCAGAATTGTTTTCAGCTTCGTGGAGAGTTTTTAGGATGAACTGCCCAATCTAACCACAGCATCTCAATGGGATTCAGTGAGTTTTTGTGTTCTTCTTGGTCAGCAGTGGTTTGCATCTTGCCACTCTCCCACGGATACCATTGTTGCCCATTGTCTTTCTTATTGTGGGATCGTGTACACTGACTTTAACTGAGGCAAGGTTCTTTTGTGACCTCCTGGAGTTGTTCCTGTGCTCTTGGCGAAATTTTGGTAGACCTGGCACTCCTGGGAAGGTTCACTGCTGTTTCACGTTTTTTCCCTTTGAGAATAATGACTCTCTTTGTAGTTCACTGGAGTCCCAAAGCTTTAGCAAACCCTTTCCAGGCTGGTAGATTTCAATGACTTTGTTTTGCATCTGTATTTGAAATCTGGCATCATGTGCTGCTTTTTGAGACCTGCTTCACACTGCCAGACAGGTTCTATTTAAGTGATGTTTAGATTCAACAGGTTTGGCAGCAGTGATGCCTGGGTGTGGCCAGTGAAACTGAACCCAATAGTCAATTTAATTTGGTTAACTGGCTGATTTAGCAACTGAGGGGAAATAACTATTTCACATAGTGCTAGGTAGGGCAGGACAACATTTTTTCTTCAGCAATTGAAATCATCATTTAAAAACAGCATTTTGCATTTACTTGGGTTACTTGTTATATCCCCCCATATACATTCAAAATAGGAAATATTTTGGAAAATGTTTTTTACAGATTCATCAAAAGTGCACTGTAGATGTCATATAAATAAAATGTTAAAATTTAAAGGTTTCATTGTGTTTTAGATCTTCTACTTTGTAGTCAGATACCTCTATTTACAAAACCTGTAGCATTGACTGAGGCAGGTGGAAACACATCAAAGCTAGTTGTGGATCCGGCTATTTCAGGGTGTTTTTTCTGCTGCACCATTTGACTGTGGTTAATGGGGTCAGACATTGTGTGTGATCCCATATTCATCCGAGAACTCGTTAGAGACAACTTCCAATTTCACTCACAAGCTGAAGAGGAATGTCCCAACTTGCAAACATGCTTTTGAGTCTAGCAATGAGTTGCTGGCCTGTTGTGGGGTGTTGTGATCAGTGGCTTCCTTCTCTAAGTTGGAATTCACAAGATTTCACTTTCCTTACAAAGTCATGGCTGACCACCATACAGACATTGTGGCTCTTGATCTGCCTTTGGTCAGCCCCTGGTGACCATTATGAATTCACTGTAGCACCTCTTCTTGTTGGGATGCTGGAATCACTAACCTGCTTTGATGTAATACAATACTAACTTTAGGCTTATGTAATAATTTATGTAATAAAGCAATAAACAACAAGAGGCCATGTGTTACTGTCGTTTTATTGTGGTGAAGGGTGTTCTTAGTACAGAGCCGTTTGAGATTTAGCCTTGGTCTGATGCAACTTCTGACTGAAAGACAGACATTTGATGCATGTAGTCCATTTAAGTGACAATTTTCAGTTTTTTATTTTGCAGTTTTACAGTGAATCATATTGTAAGTACTTTAATTTAAGCCTGTAATATTAATAATGAGCTGTTTAGGCTGTTAGCTAGATGGCCAGCCTAGTTCTAGTAACAATAAGTTGGCCAGCCATGAAAATTGTTTAAAAACATTTATCTGGGCAGAAGGTGTGTTTTTGCCAGTAAATACAATATAGATATAAAAAATACAATCAAACAAACATAAAAAGAGACTTAGTAGAGAAGAGTTTTTTATCCAGATTGGAATTTGGTACAAATTTTTACTCATTTGGTCACAAGATTTTTATTTTAAAAATAAAAAAAAAATTTATTTTAAAAATAATGACAAAGTTTTGAAAAATAGTTATCATTTGTTGAGAAAGAGTTTATTTCAACAGAATAAGTAATTATTTGAGAAATAAGACATTATTTTAACATAATACATCAGAGATCAGTTGTTTTGACTCTGTTTAGTACATGTTCATTTTTGGCTGGTTGTTTGAGCAGAACTTGAGTTTAAGTATAACCTCTTAACTACATGCAGTGGTGACATTGCTGATCTTTTCATAGCGTTAAACAGCACAGAGTCAGCATTTACTTATAAACTTCTCCTTCAAGTATTCTGCAAGAGAAGTTCATGTATGCAAATGAGGCAAAAGCATGAAAACCAGCTGCGTCCCTTTGATCTTATTATAGCCACTAAGTAGTTGCCGTGCATATCTGCTCATAGAAGTTATTGACTGTCATGCACCAAAGGACTGTACCTCTGATATAATGTTCATTCTAGAGCTCTGTTGACCTCAGTTGTTAAACTGTCCATCATTTTTTGTGTAAATTATGCAATAAATTGAGCAAATGACCACCCACCTCTGCTCCTTGTACATGAATGGGATAAATCTGGTGAAACTTACAAAAACTGCAAAACCAATATATCACACGCATATAAATTGTTTACAGCACGTTTTTCATGAAAGCAGAATTGCAAATCTACTTACTGTAGATCCACCTCAGTATCTTCATGACCAATTGATGCCACCTGAGAGCAATCCAGATAGAAGAACATTAAACTTTGCTGGTAAATGAATTTATGATGATTGAATGATTTTTAAGAGTTTTTATATCTATTTGCACAGTCTTATGCAAAATATTGGTAAAATTACACATTTTGTTGATTGTCAAAAATAAATCAAATATAAAACATGCCATCTATTTCCAAAATACCTCCATAACTCAGTGTGTGAGATGTAAACAGAATGATTCAGAGTGGTTTGGTGTGAAATGGTTCATATGTCTGAATTCTGAGTTTATATGGAATGTTGATGATGGAAAATAGTGGAAAATCTGAAATAATAAGTTTATTTTTAAAATGTTGTCTGTATCTTTACCATTTTATTATGGAATAATTCTGAAAAAAAAAAAATCTGTTTGAATTTTTGAAAAAAAATATGACATATTTTTAAACATTTTAAAACAGCATTTCAAAACTGTATCTGTACTTGTAAATGTGAATGATCATAAAACATTGATAACTCTAAAAGAAATAAATATCTTTCTTCTTTTGACTGATGTGTCTGAGTCATTGTTTCATGATAGTTTTCAGAATATTTTGCTCCACAATATATATTTAAAATCCATGCATGGTGGAGATATATATGCAGAGCACTGTAAGGCAAAACAGTCCCCCCAAAAAACGTATTATTTCAGATTTTACAGTATGTTACGTCATCAACATTCCATATAAAACTCAGAAGACACATGTAGGTTCACTGGTGGTTTTTGATCATAAATAAAATGGCTATGTTTGTGTTGTAGACATGGCGACCCCTGGTTCCCATCACCACCACTGTAAAGACACCTCTACAATGAACCGTTTCATGCCATACCACCCTGAATGACTGTTTACATTAATTTAAGCATTAATTTACGGAGAAAATTTGGGAAATGTTTGAAATTCTCCTTTGAAACATGTCTTACCTTTCCCCCCAAACCTGCTAAATTCCACAGGAGGATTTTCAGCAGAACGTCCCTTCATCACCCATTAATGTGTGTGTCATCTTTTAACACTGCGCTCACTTAAATGCACACACACTGAGCCCTCCCCTGAGAGAGGAAGACAGAGAGAGTGTCATGTGGTGACTCACTCCGAATAAGGACCAAACGCAGGCTTTCTTGTATGAGAGGCTGGTATAAACTCAGTTAGCCACCGTTTCATAACAACGCAAGGATTCAAGTGCGAGGCCACTCTAGAGTTTGAGTCTGGAGGTGAAAGGCAGACACCTTACTACTGACGACCTTGTGTGGGTTTCTTTCTTAGACCTTTTACTCAATTAAAATGCTGAAAAGAGTAAACAAATGAAAGCCAAGGGATTCCCAGACTGGCTCAAAATTGAGAGCCGAGTCAGAGTCAGAATTTTTTTACTTATTTATTTTTGAGAAAGAGGGTAGAGGTTTCAGCACAAAACATCACACAAAGGCTTGTCACCAGTCACCATTGAGGGAGTTGATGTGGAGGTGGTTGGGACCTACAAATATCTGGGTGTGCACTTGGACAACAAGCTGGACTGGAGCTGTAACATTCTCGTACAAGAGAGGCCAAAGCCGCCTCTACTCCCTGAGGAGGCTGAGGTCTTTTGGTGTGAGCACTAAGCTCCTATGGTCATTCTACCAGTCTGCTGTAGTGAGTGCTTTACTCTGTGCTGTTGTGTTCTGGGGCAGCAGCTTTAACAAAAGTGCTCTGAACAAAATCAACCAACTTATTAGGAAGGCTGGCTCTGTTGGAAGAGTCAAGCTGGACTCTTTGGAGGTTGTGGCAGAACAGAGGACGCTCAACAAGCTGTTAGCCATCTTGAACAACACCTCACACCCTCTGCATGCTACACTGGATAAACAGAGAAGCTCATTCAGATCAGACTGTTACAGCTGTGCTGTGTTAAAGAGGCCGTGTGAGATTGCTGTTTATTAAGTAGCGATGATGTGAAGATGCTGAAGAAGTCTCTGCTGACACCACATTACTTGCATAAGATGTTTATTACAAAGTAAAATGGTATCATATCAAGCACTATAAAGTACCTGAGAGAGGATCCGTGCCAATTGTGTCCCCTCCAGAACAGAATAAACCAGCTGCTTATATAGGGTACTTGTTGTTGAAAAAGCAAACTGAACATATGGCCCTTTTTAAATTGATCTCATCTATGTGGAACTATGAGATAGACCTTTGGAACAGGGGGCCTTTTGTACCAGGGGGGCCCTTAACGTAAACATTCCAAATGTTGCAAGACAGATAATACAGAGGACTTTAAACCTCACCTTATACTTATAGAAGTTAAGAGTGTTTTTACCTTCTTTTATAAAACTATTCTTCTATAGACACCTCAAGATCTTTCTTACCCACTGATATACGGCTCTACAACGAGTCTCCTTACTGCAGAGATGGTACTGATCTGTCTGAACTGTGCTGAACCACATCACTGTATCTCCTCTTCGATTAATACACACTGTGCAATATCACAACTATAACTCTATCTATCTATCTATCTATCTATCTGTCTGTCTATCTATCTATCTATCTCACTTAGTCTGGCCATTGGATTGTTCTGAAACTCAGAAAACAGGTCAGAGTACAGATGACTCAAGAACCCTCACAATGTGCTGTAGCAACAGTTTGACCATCTCCATGGCTGATGGGAATTTAGACACATCAATGAACTTACAGGCCTTTAAGAACCTGTCGACCACAACAAGAACTACCGTGTTGCCCTGGGAGGCAGGCAATCTCAAACAAAGGTCCAAGGAGAGGTGGGACCACAAGTGTGAGGGGATAGATAGGGGATGGAGCAAACCAGTAGGTCTCGTCCAGAGTTCATTACTCTGGGTGCAATCCTGGCAGGCAGCGACATACCCTTGAAAATCGTGGTCCATTTTGGGCCAGCAAAGGTGGGGACATAGAGCCTACCCATGGGACCTCTTCCTAGGTAAGGCTCTTTCTGGAGTGTTGCTTGAATGATGGCCTCTAGCCTCCATTACAGTGCAGCCACAATCCATGCTGGGGTCAGGACCTGCAAGACTGGTGCAGGTGATGCTGGAACTGAGATTCAGGCATGTACTGAAACTGCCCCACATTTTTTCTGGTGAGGGCAGCGAGATGGGCAGCCACTGCACTTTGTAATTTTGGATAAAACAGAAGAAGAAGCTCAGAAAGCATTACTCAGACATCTATTGAAAATAACACATGTAAGGAAAGTGACTGACTGGGCAATTAAAGGGACTTCTTTAGTTAAACTTACAAGTGGTTCTCCTGGAGTAATTGAATTCAGAACCATCAGCCAACTGTGTTTGCACACTGTGGAATTAGACCTCCACATTTAACCCATCCGTGCAGTGAAACATCCACATACATGCACACTAGTGAACACATACACTAGGGGGCAGTGAGCACATTTGCTCAGGGCGGTGGGCAGCCCTACCAACTGGGGGTTAGGTCAAATCAAATCAAATCAAATTTATTTGTATAGCAAATAAATCTTTTTACAACTGATGTTGTCACAAAGCAGCTTCACAGAAATCCGTTTAGAACAAAGTTTCAACATGAAATGTAAATCCTCCAGGTGAGCAAGCCAGGGGCGACAGTGGCAAGGAAAAACTCCCTCAGAGCTGAGGAAGAAACCTTGGGAGGAACCAAGGCTCACATGGGGGGACCCATCCTCCTCTGGTCAAACTACGTACAAAATTATTATTCTACTAATATTAATAGTAGTAGTAGTAGTAGTAATAGTTAGGAGGTAGTAATAGTTAGGAGGTAGTAATAGTTAGGTGCCTTGCTCAAGGGCACTTCAGTCATGGACCTTTAGCCGAGGGGATCGAAGCGGCAACCTTCCGGTCACAGGGCCGGTTCCCTAACCTCCAGCCCATGACTGCCCCCAAAGTAATTGGAGAACCCACCTGATGTACCATTAAAAATGTCTGCTTTGACATATTCACAAAGCCCAATCGAGATTCCAATTAAAAAAAAACGCCATTTGATAATAAACTGTAGGCTTGAATCGAGTGTGACGACCTCTGTAGGGCTGCCTGTTGTACTGAGTAATATTGTGTCCAGATTCAGTCACACTGAATTTAATTTGCTACTCTCTCAAGGCTGATGTTAGCTTCTTCGTCAAATTTCCTTTCCACCTTACATAGCGCAGCACTTACATGCTAACACTGTAACATGACAGAACCACTCAGACGCTCATAGATAAAAAGAACAAAAAAGGCCAAATCCAGAAAGGGCAGCAAGTAAGGACACACAATCATAACAACAGGCAAAAACAGGAAAGTCAAAATGCAGAAGATAAGTCAAAATCGGAAACCACAACACAGGAAATAAACGCTCAGTAGCTCAAGAAAGAAGCAAAACCTCACACTGAACTGTTCTAAAAGCCTGGGCTTTATACTAAAGCTGATGACAGGTCAACAGGTGTAACAGATCAGTACTCAGGAGAGAGAGATCTGTGATAGGAGTGTGCTGGGGGGGTCAGGAGTCATGTGATCTTCCAGAGGATTCTGGGAGATTGAGTCCAGGGAAACCTCTGAGCCATAGGGATGCGTGACAATCACCTTTCCAGACAGCTGAATGTAACTGCTAAACCATTTAAGGCAGAACAGAATCAGAATCAGAAGCTAATTTCAGCCTCATCTAATCTATATCCACCGTACGAGCCTCAGTTATAAATCAGGAAACCGGGACCACCCCACTAATTTAGGGTGCTGGTACTTCTTGTGTAAGTGAGAGAGGAAATAAGATAACATCTGCCTGTGTGGCTGAGGCTTGTTCATCAATAGTAAGTCATCACCTTTTTTTGAAGAGTACATGTCCGAGTATTGTATTTTTAAGTATCATGCTACTGGATCCATGATTGGTAAGATTTTACCCTGTAACCAATCATAAGCTTTATACTGTCTATCTAAAGTGCCTATACAACTCAGGGCGTTTTCACACTTGGGCCGTTTCAGCATCTGAAGTGGACTCAGACCGCTGAGTCATGGTTTCTTTTGCATATGTATATATTGCGAGAGCCTGCGTGATTTCACCGTGTTAAAGGTTAAAGTTGGGCATGCAACGCAATTTTAAGCTGCTTTCATTCTGAACTCTGAATAAATGAAAATTCACCGCTTACGCGGAGTTTCGTCAGGTGGAGCTCAGTGAGGAGCACAGCCGAAAACGCCCCCACGGTCATTTTTCCAATTTTGTGCCATACACTTCGGCCAATCATTTCAGCTCGGCCAATAGGAGAGCAGCAGGCGGGTCTGGTGGTTCCTCTCGCCCACTGTGCGCGCTGTGAAAGGGTTCTGAGTTCTTTTGGAGTTGTGGTCTGAACATGAAGTGGTCTGAGATCTCCAAGGACCAGAAAGAAAACTGAGTCCTCTTAACAGTTCACTTACATCGTTAACACAAAAAGAACTGAGGTCATTTGCAGTTGGTTTCCTTCCCGGTTCACTTTAACAGAACTCAGTTTTAAAACAAACTATATGTGAAAACACTGTCATTGTCAGATGAAGAAGGAGGAGGGTTCTCAATGCAAGATGGAATTCTCCCAGTACTGGAATAAAGGAAGATTTCCACTCAACTGCATGACTTCTCATCTTTTATCGCATTAAATTTTTTTTTCCCTCACAGTGGCCTCCTGTTTTTTGCCGCACACCTTTCCACACCAAACCCTGGTATTTTTTTTGAGGTTTCCTCCATCTGTTTCTAGCTAGCTTTCATGGTTTCACTTTCTTGGTTGTTGTCATCCCCTGTTACTTTCTCTCAGTGGCCCACACACATAGTGGCCCACCACCCTCCTTAAAAAATGTCACAGAAATAATTTGTGTTGGTTCCTGATGGTGTCTGATGGTATTGTGTGTTTTCCTGATGGGTTGATAGCACAGTGTGAAGGACTCTAATGTTTTAACAGTTGTTCTGATTCCAGATGGGGCGGCACGGTGGCGCGGTGGGTAGCGCTGTTGCCTCACAGCAAGGGTCTGGGTTTGATTCCCCAGCCAGGCGACCAGGATAGTTTCTGTGTGGAGTTGTCATGTTCTCGCTGTTTCTGCATGGGTTTTCTCTGGTTTCCTCCCACAGTCCAAAGACATGCAGTCTG